ATACCACTCCGTTCCCGTCTATGCCTTCAAGGCCGTTGCTGCACGTGTTCGCTGTGTGGTACCGACACCGATTGGAAACAAGAAATACGCAGAGAACGTCAATACCGGTGCGTATCACCGTTGTGTGTCTCACTTCCAATATTGACAGCGCCGGGCCATTGGGCCATCCATGGACCGGCCCAGGGACATGATGGATCGTCCAACGGTCGCTCATGGGTGGCCCACTGGACGTATTATTTGGACTCTACATGGGTTGAACCATCGACCGCCGATGGACCACCCATTGGTCAATACCCATTGAAATGCCCATGGACCGCCGATGAGCCACCCATGGGTGCCTGCGACTAACGTGCCGACCGTTGGTCGACCGAAGGCCATTCCGAGACTGTTGCGTACGCCCCCTGGTCCACCCATTGGCCGTCCATGGGCCCTCTATGGGCGCAGGTCAATATCAATGACGGCCCATGGGTGTCAGCGGCACATTTTCGAAATGCAAAGACGAAAAGGACGTCCTTCGAACTACTATCAAAACTGAAGTCTCATGATTATGGAGCCAAGGGTGGCCGATGGGCACCTCATGGGGCGGCAATGGGTGGCTAATGACGACCCATGGGCGACCCGCGGACCTCTCACGACGGCTCACGGGTGGCCCTGGGACGTCCGACGGGTTCAAGAAGTTGGGCAGCCCATGGGCGATCGATGACCCAATAGCGGCCCATGACGACGCATGACAGCCGTCGGGCGGACAAAGGCCTATCGTCTGTCGTGAGGAGTATCTACAGCACTTCGATGACGGGCTGCCCGTCGGCCGTGAGTTAGAGCCCTGGGCGTGAGTTTGGGTTTTAGGGCCGTGGGCCGTACCAATATCGTGTATATGTACCCCCGACAAGGGTGATACACGTTATGCAGAATGATCGCAACACACGAGTTCAAGAGATCAGCAAGAACAACACTGCCATGTGGGCGGGCTGCTATGTACGGCAGGCTCGTACGGTCCGCCCGGCAACAATTCGCGTCGTGATATACATGAAGTGATGACCGTACCCCACAAACTCATCTTCATGATGTCCTCAGTTCTCCACTCGCCTCGGTGGCCGAGAGAGGTGTACCTATACAACCAAAGAGTCCATACAGTAGCACACCTAGCCTGTTCTCTGGGTGGTGCAGAGATTTGAACTTACAGAACATGGGACTGGGCGAGGCCATTGCTGCACGTGTAGGCTGTGCGATTCCGGAAACGGTAGGGTGAAGACATGTTACAAGGACATTGAAAACAACGATGGTGATGGTGCACAAAACCCACTGTCTGCCTAGTTTCCAAAGCAAGTCCAAACATTTTTCGAAAGAGGTTCAATGATGATATGTCAACGGCACGGCAAGAAAACAACAGAGGCTTGCAGTCACAGAAGATAAGGATTATCGCGCCAAATATTCACCGGATGAAGGAGTTGGCGCAGGAGTTGGCACAGGAGTTAGAGCAGGAGTTGGCGCTTGGGGTAGCGTTGGGCTTGGCGTTGGAGTTGGCGATGGAGTCGAGGCAGTTGGTTCTGGGATTGGCCCTGGAGTGTTCACTGGAGGTATATGGGGTTGGACAGCGGGAAAAAGCGAGTGTGGGTTAAGGTAGTGCCGTAGAGTCGGAGCACGCGTGCGGCACGGGGAAGGGAGAGAAAGGAGGAACGCAGATTTCGTTGAAGCGGGTCAACACGAAAACATTTGTGTTTGCTGCGGCAGTTCGGGCACAGGCTCGCACATTCTTCAGTTTTAGAGAGAAACAGACACAGACTGGGAGGTTAATAATGAAAACGGCTTGGTTTCGAAGGCGTTCTTGTTGCCCTCCCGGGCCACGTGACATTTACCCGACGTTTCCCGCTATTTGTTTCATTGTTCCGTTAATACGATGGCGGTAGCCCCTCACCACGCCACATCATCTACCTCCCCCCCCTCCCGGTGCCCGCGGTGGAACACCATTCGCCGCCACGTGTATGTGCTAGGTGCTGGGCGGAACAAGTGGGAAAACACCCACAAATGTGTCGCTTGCCCTTGGACGAATGAACCCATACCCATCAGACGGTAAGACACAAGAGCCGATAGTGCTGCGATTCTCTTTTGCGGCTTCGGCTGCTTGGGACTCGATGGGGTTGGCGATCAACCAATGCTGTACTCTTGTTCATTTTGTGCCTACAAGTCTCAGGAAACAAAAAGGACTTGTTATTCGTATGCATAGGGAATACTCAAACGTTGGAGGGATTATTTTGCAGCCGTTGAGGATCAAAATTTGGGGCAACGTTTGTCGCCCCGCCGCACAGAGATACAACATGTACGTCGTGACGACTGTGGAAAGGGTTACATCATTGCCATCTCATCAACCTATCTCATCAATGACTAATATCTAAAGGTATACCATATTAGGTAGGGTTGGTGATGCAGCGTTTCCTATTGTATTCTGACTCCGAACCGAGGATCATATTGATTCATTGGATGAGGCCTCCGGCGCCGGACTGTGGTCCCGGCCATCCTTCGTTGCATCCGTTGGCTTCCCTTACTTGACCACTCCGGCGAGACGTGAACTCACTCATACTCCATCCGACCGTACAGATTCCTACAGTCCCTCAAAGTATTGTTGAAACGTGGGGACAAGGGCAGATAGATCACCAGGAACGTCGGCATAACTCTGCCCGCGGTCTGAACGGAATATTTCGCATGCATGTGGTACATGTAAATCGACGGTACTTCACAAGCACACGATTCGGTCTACTCAAGACATATTTTTGAATTTGACTTCTATCACAACCTAATGTATTTTAGGTACGAAACGGCCGCAACGAACGACGTCCCGAAGAAATGATTGGAAGGGCACTCACCACGTTCACAGCAAACCGCCTGACTGCAGGAAGGGATTTCGGATGTGTAGTCATCGTCGTCCACGGTGTACTCATCGTCGCTCAGAAAGTCGTCATCGGTTCTGTCATCTGAAAACAACCTACGTCCAGATATATTGAGGCATTGCCCCGCGATGTTGGCGTACCCCGCACCGCACTCCCAAAGTCCACAGGAGTCTGCACGGGGGTATTCAACGTCATGCAACATATCGGCCGGCACGATTAGCGTAGGGTACGGTCACGAGTAGACGAGTAGGCGCGCGGTGCCATCCTTGCGTTGTATATACATTCGCTTTCGAGTAATAGTTCAAAGATGTGGGGGCTTCTTGGATTTTCGGTGGTTCGGTGGGAACGCAATAACAGATAACCTCTTGTACCAACCAGCCTGTCAAGCGCCCAGAGAAACATTTACATCGTTACTGGTGTACCAGTAGAGGATATCGTACCGAAACCGAACACGCCTGTATATATGAAGCTGTGTTATTATCTCCACACTACATGTATTACTGCTGCTGTAGCATATACGCACGAGTAAACTACCACTTATAAGCAGCGAGAGCAGTATCTATGTACAGCAGTATACCATACACCCCTCCCCTCCGCACAGTTGTGGTCTTCAGAACTATTCCTCTTCGGCACATCACATCGACGTCGAGAATTGGAAAGGACGCGTTCTTGCCATCGGCCGTTCAGTAGACTATCGTTTCATAGACTGCAACAAGGGAGATACATAGCGTACATATGTGATCTCTCTCCGACCTGAAGCCTGATTATAGCGACAACTCTGGGCACCGCGATAGCATCCTCGCAGTGAGTTTGCGGAGACACTCTTGAGGGCGAGTGCCATAAAACCTTGGGTTGCGGAGAAAGAGAAGCTCACCGGTGACCTGCAATCGTCTGCGCTGTGCCTCGTTGGTCTGTTCCGGCTGCTCGCTGTTTTGTACGCATCCGCTGCGGAGAGAATTGCAGCGCGGACGCACGGCGCCGAACCCCGTTTCATTATTGCCGTGCTCTTTTCCGGAGGCTAAAGCAGCACTACCCCCCGAGACATGGAGTAGGGAGATGACTTGCCCAAGAAGAAAGCCTTTCATGGCGGTTGCAGTGTGGGTGCCCGGATCCTTGGGTGGTCTTCCGAATGTAGAAAAGGGGGAGCGATAAAAATAGTGGCGTCGCTCGTGCCATCAAGGCGCAGTAGTACCACTCACTGCGAAACAACCCGAAGCGCCGGGCCCGGCAAGCTGCACACACACACGTCACAGAGATAACAACTGCATAACCTTCACATCGGGACGTTGCAGCTACTGGTGCACTGTCCTACGTCCCGGTACGAACTCGTCCATCTCCATTTCTGTCCTAACAACCGCCCGATGCGGACCCACAACGTCGAGGCAAAGAGCCGTTCATCCTATCAATGTACTATGGTTGTTTGTTATGGTCCCCCGTTGATGAGTTCGGCTCTGCAACACCAACTTACACATAATTTGCCCTGCTGCTGTTGTAGCTATAGAAGACATCGAGGGCCCCAGTGGGCAACAAGTACGTCATCATCTTTTCTCGTACATCATCGGTAGCCCGTGCAGGGTATCGGTTTGTTTATCGCCGGTCGTCACCGACCAGTTGGGCCAGTCCCGCAGAAAAAGAACGGTGAGAAAAGAACTGGTTTATTTGCGTATCATATGTACGCGCACAACAACAACTAACAGAGGTTGCAATGTTCTGGCCTTGTTCCACGTTGGCTGTCTATGTACGTACATAGATTCACCGGACCGAGTCATTAAATTCTGGACAGGGCGTGTGTGTGTGGAAAACCTGTTGTCACGTTCTTGTGTTTCATTTCACTAAAGAGATGTATATGTGTAGACAAACAAATATTATTCAATTTCCGGATGATGCATATTCTGTGGAGCTAGCTGTGGAGACAGGGCGTGGAGATAGTGCTGCGGTACAGGAAACGAAGGAGCCCGGTGCGCCTGCTGTGCGATCAATACGATATTTATTTCTGATTCGGGTAAATGCGAGACTTTTAACATGGTAGGTTGTAGGTTTGTTTTCTTTGCAGGCCCCATGTCCAACGAAACGCACAGGGATTGTGAACGCACCTGTTTATTATTGCGACACATCGATATGTAGGCTTATATTATACTAGTACATATTCTTCGTAATATAATGAAGTATGTCTTGAAGGTGTTTGCTCGCGTATTTTACCCAGTTCATCAGTCATGCACACTTCTCTCTCCTTCTATGCAGTAAAACGGAATTTCAGCAACTACATGAACCCGGTCTTCTCACCGGGCTCCGTGTACTTCCCCATACGTTACTCGAAGGCCCAACCGTCCGCTGACTTGCCAGCGGAACGGTCTAACGTTGACTCGTCCTTCTGTCATTCAATATCTCCCCTCCCCTCCTGCTGCCGTGGTGATACACGGTTAGTCAAGGGCCGATACCCAGCTAAGACGAGGCAACCGCCGGTAAGTCATGTCATCCGCTTGGGAGTTGACTGCCAAAGCCTCCAGTATCTCTCCGCGACAATAATTATGCACCTCGCCAGATAAAAGAACAAAACGTAACATCTGAAAGTGCGAAGCACGCAGCGTGAACATGGGGCGCGGCCCGGCGGCACGATTTCCTCTGAATAACGTTCCTAGCAGCAGCAAAGTGAGGACGGTAGCTGCCCTTATCCTTGGCATGAAGAAAGAAATGTGAGGCTCACACGCGAGACTGAACTACAAACCAAAGCTTGAGATGAGCGAGAAGAAAAGCGCATCATGCGTAGAGCCCCTCGATGATGTCCGAGTACTTCTCGGAAGTCGGGCCTCGCCTTAGCTTGAGGGTCTCCGTCAACTCTCCTCCTGAAAAGACAAGCGAAATCGTGAATCGACAAAGAAGAGAGATCAACAACGAAACTGAGGAAGCAAGACATCCAGTACGCGTAGGCCAAAATAGGTGACACTACAGTAGCACTGAATCCGTGTTAGTCACTCCTTGGGAAAGCTAATCCTGGTCTAAATGCCAAGCGATAAGTCGCCCAGCATTGATCAGCGTAAGCGCAAAAAAGCGACCTCTCACGGGCGCATTGCATGGCCCGGTGGCTTCGAACACCGCACAACATGCATCATGAAAAAACCGCAGCAAGATGAACCAGGGGGTTGCACAGAAACCGTGGAAATGTGAACCGTTGAGCCATTCTGGCTGAAGCGAAGAAGGCTTCTATCTCTCCTCAACGCAGCAGAATGCGGCAAGCAGAGGATGCCCACATAAAAAAGGAAAGACAAGATAAAAGTAACGACTCGGAGGAATCAAAAGGATAGACTAGAGGACACGTATCATAAACGGCCGTCACCAACGCTCTGCAGAACAGAGCGACTAGCTGTGAACGTGTATCCCTTCACCTTCTACGGAGAAGTCGTGGGGGAGGAAGGCCCACTTGGCCACCCTCTGCGCGTTGGACGTCGTGCGAGCGTTGCAAGCCTTCATGGCCTTGTTGATGTACTCAGTCCACTGGCAGAAACAGAAGAACAACACGCGCAATAAAAACACGGGTTCTGTTTATCGTTTTCTCGATTCACCTGCCAAGGAACGACCCCTGTCTTTGATAACGCCGACGATGACGACGACGACGACAAATTGACGTCATGCAATAGCGACAAGAGTTGGGCGTGGCTTCTATAGCGTATCTGATTATTTCGGTCTGTCCATCATCAGTAGTACTAACGGAGCACTAGCACTGAAGCAACACGAAACATCCGCTTGTTCAACATCCGAGAAATCGAATGGTGCAACGACGTTGAGGCCAGGTACACAAACAACACATTTTGGTCCACGCCGTGGGGACAAAAAACCAGGAGCTTCTTGATGGGAGGAAATGTGAGAAGAATACGACAGGCGATCGGACACAGAGTCTGAGCATGATTGCACGGCAGCACATTCGGTAACATCACCGGCCAACGGACGGCACCGGTCGGTGTCCGATGCAGTTGAAACTGCTCTACGGCGCCTCAACGGCGGATCCAACAGTCTAAAAGTGCAGGTGTTGAGCTTTTCCGCTAGATGCGGGAATACTACAGACGAGCGAGCGTACACCCCGCCAAACTAATGAAGAAAACGGGATGTGTGGATGGATTTCCAATTCGTAACATGTATGCGGCAAGAACGCGCCATGATCGTGTTCGACGACGTCGAAGAAGTGGGTGTGCCGGAAATGATTTCAAACCATGTGTTTCGTCGGAAAGGGAAAAAATATCGACGACGCTGTGAAACAAACTAGCATGTTTGCACTGACATCTGGTCCGAAGCATCATCGTCACACCTTGGTGTCTGCCTTGGCCTCCTCGATGGTGGTGGCCGTGCTGCCGATCTTCTCGCACGCCGTCAAGCTGTCGCCGACCAGCCTGACGGTCGACGACCCACCGTTCTCGTCCTCTCGTTTCTGTTCCGAGAATTGCGGCGCATCGGCGTGCGTGTTACAAGAGAGAGAAGGTTTTGGTGGCACGAAAGAGCAAGTTAGTTTGGTGGTGAGACCGTCGTTAAGTCAGCCAGAGGACTGCTCCAAGCTTGAACGTCGTGAGGTGGTGACCCAGACGACGATTGTTCTGCAGATCGCTTCACTTGCTATGCGAGTCACCCTGAAAAATCTACGTTTGGGGACGGGGGGGGGGGCGACGGCGGTGATTGGTCAACGGGGAAATATTCGATGAGGCTTTCGCTGCCAAGAAAAGCGGGACTTAGGAATTGCGTGGACCAAAATATAATTGGCAAATTGGATTACCCCTGGCTGGACCATGTGGCACACAAGCCGTGCGGCGCCCACACGCATCGCTCTTTGTCCGCTGCTGGGAAATAGCGGTAATGCAACGATTCCGTGAGCGTGTCAATTTTTCAAACGCTGGGTAGGTCGCTGTGGAGATTGCTTCCCAAAATGTGCGACGTCGAAAACCAACGGCCGGTGATGTGCAGCGAGACACTCCAACAATAACATGCCTGAGGTTGAGGCGTGGACCGCTGGGAACACCTGCTGATACTTAACTTCGTGTGTGTGCTCATACATATATTGCAGCTCCCGTGTGGTGCACATGGTCTATCGCTCGACCTGTTTGGTCACCACATCACCTCGTGGCAGCGCTTTCGACGCGTTTGGGTGTTGCTGGACCTCCATTATCATCGGTGTGTCGCAAAACTTCGACAAAACGACGCAAGCTTTATTTTTAGCCAAAACCCCCAAATATTTCCATCCAATTTGGGTGCTCGTTCTACGTGCAACCTTTAACGTTAAAATAATCCCCCTAGGGGGGGAGCTGTGGCCTTAGGCGCGGGACCCTGAGGTTGGGAATGGGTGTGTCGGTTGAGGGGGGGCTCTCTTGTCTCCCCTCTTGCTCAATTGCGATGATGACAGGGCTGGGACTACCTAGTGCTAGGCTTTTCTTGCGTTTCTCACCTCGGATCTGAGCGCGATGAGGATGGTGAGGAACTTCCTCTTGTCCCCGATGACCATGCAGTTGGCGATGCACGGAAGCTCGGCCTTGAACTCGCTCTGCCGCAAATAGCATTGCGGAGGGAAAGAAAGCAAAAGTAAAAGTAAAAACACAAACACGAGAACAGGGGAACTGTGTAAAGCACCAAGAGGCACCCAACGTAGGGATGGCTTAGAAAGATGCCGCATGCCTGAACAATGACGTTCGGATCGTTATCCTACGCGTGTTTGGGCTTTCTCTTCCCCATTTCATTGTTGCCTCTTTCTTTGGGGTTAGCTTGCACCACAGAACTTGGAAGGATGTGATGGATGAGGAGGTACAGAAAGCGTTTTACGAACCTGGGAGCTAAGCACTTCAGGCTCAATAAAATAGACAGACTTCCAATCTTCACCATCAGAACAGGTGCTCAGCCAAGACTCCTCCAGCCACCACATGACGGACAGCGTTGGTTCATAAAACGACGTACAGAACCAGAACCGCGTTGCCTACGCTATCGTATTCGAGCTGACCTCGATGAGTACCGGCGGTATGTTCTCCCCCCCGGCGGTGATGATGAGCTCTTTGATGCGCCCCGTGATCCGCACGAAGCCGCTGCGAAAGCAACGGCACGAAAACAATGGAAGGTGCCGGAAAGAACAACGAATTACGCTCAGTACGCTCATTTCACCGACAATCGAAGCGGGCAGGGGAACCACAGGGAAGAAGGAGGCTTGCACTGCGTAGTAGGTGTAGTGGCCAAAGCCTTGTAAGACGAAAGGTTGGAGAACAAAGATATACACAACGCAGGAAGAGAATAAATACAATCGAACGGCGATTGAGAAGAAAACAGTGCACCATTCTCATTGGAAAAAACCTCGTTCGTTTCATCGTCCCATGCCCCAGCCTCCATCGTCGTCGAGCGTGGTGTCAGCTAGGCTCCGGGTCAACACGAATTGCAAGAGGGAAGAACCAAGCCCATTAAAGCACAATCATTGAGCGTACCTGGGCCCTTCGATCCTGGGGTCTCCGTCCTCGTCGAACGTGGCTACATCTCCGCTGTGCATCCAGCCGTCCTCGTCGATCGTCTCCGCCGTCTTCTCGGGGTTGTGCATGTACCTTTTGCGGGTTGATTTAGGCAGAAAACGAAATGAAGACCAGTTAAGGTTGTGGATGTACCTTTTTTGGGTTAACTTAGGCAGCAAACGAAATGAAGACCAGTTAAGGGTGTGCATGTACCTTTTTCGGGTTCACTTAGGCAGAAAATCGAAAGAAAGGCGAGCCATGGTTGTGCATGTACCTTTTGGGGGATAATTTAGGCCGAAAACCAATTGAAGGCCAGTTAGGTTGTGCATGTAACTGTTTTCGGTTAACTTAGGCAGAAAAATTAAAGGAAGGCGACATAAGGTCGTGCATGTACCTTCCTAGGGGGGCTCGGCAACAAACGAGGAGGGCGAGACATGTTGTTCCTTTTGGGGGGGGGGCAAATGGAGGGCCAGAAAAGAGTCGAGGACCCAAAATGCCGTGGAATGTTTTTGTCCGAAAGGGACCAACAGACGCCCATGCACCTTTTTCGGGCAAAACATTGAGAGCACGCCGCAAAAACAACGAGATTGGAAGGAGAGAGGAAAGCACTCGCTGCTTGAGTAAGCACGACTTTTTTCAGTGTGCAGGCACAGCATGGTAGGCTCACTGTGTGGCGGGTTACAATGAAATCAATGGAGGAGATACTGACGCAGAACGGGACAATTTCTCGATACGTTTGAGGTGAAGGTCGCTGATGATGCAGAAATATCAAAGGTTAACGGAGGGCAAAACGAGGCATAATAAAACTGACCAGATGGATGGCGGGTGACAAATCGAAGTCACAATGCACGGTCGCAGAAGCCATTCCAGAGTGAACGAAATAAAAAAACGGCTTTGACGGGAAAGAGAGAGTGAATCCGTGATTGCGCCTCACCCCATGAATATGTTGCGGCCGCGATAGCAAAGCTCGCCCGTTCCCGGCTCGAGCTTAGACTCGGTCCCCTGAACAAAGAACGTTGCATACGGGGGACAAACAGGTGGACAAAGGGGGGGACAACTTCGCTCCAATACGTGACAGGCACCACTTGCCATCCGACACTCAATACTGTCCCGCTCTGACGCATCGCTCCCGCTGTCTTATCCAGCTGGAAACGAAAACGTGGAAGATGGAACCAAAACAAAATAATCCCCCCGCCGGCACGAGGCCAAACTAAGAAGACATGTCAAAAGCCGAGCGCAGGCGGGCACTAACGCTTTTGAAGCACGGCCACTATTGTCTGCTGTTCTGTTTAAAAACCCAATGAGCAACATCACAGACACCTACTCCGTTGCTCTTTGGGTATCAGTAAGGATCTATATTTCACAACGCAATAGGGACGATGCAGAGTTGAATGTTCCACGTGTGTCATGCGATTTCACCGGGCTTAACCAGGGCGGTCGGCCTTACGCGGGGATCACGACTGCAGTTGGGTGTTTGGTTTCGCTTGCAGGAGAGGACGTGTCCTGATTTCTCTGCACTTGGTTCCTCCCGTTTCCTAGGTCTGTCTGTCTACCCAGCCTGTCACCGCAGAGGTCCGCTTGAGGGGGTGGATACGCTAGGCAGGGGATGCCACAGTGCCCAGTTTGCTGACAACAGTTGTCGATGCAAAAAGACAACGACGATGACGATGACGACGACGACATCAACACCGCTACGACAGCGACTAAGAGCAACATCTACGACAACAATGGCCGCGACAACGGCGACAGCAATAGCAACAGCAACGACATGGCTTACCAGCATTGGACGGCCGCACGAGCCCATCTTCCAAGCCTCCTTAGTGCTGACCGCCATCGGCCCGGTGCACTCTGACTGGCCGAACACCTCCATGATATGGATGTTCAAGGAAGCGAAGTACTCCAAGGTCTGACCGGTTTCAGAGCACGCCAATATACAGCGAAGAAGCGCACGCCGTGGGATACAGCGGGCGACGATCCAAATCAGACAGCCAACGAGGTTGCACGCCGGGTTAGGTATGGCAGTAGTCTGGAAGCTGGCTGTTGTTGGTTATGGTCGTGGAGGGGAAGTTGTGCTGCAAGGTCAGGTTGGTTCAAGCAGGCAACACCGACAATCATAGCCCACAGGCTTCTAGTCTATTTTTTTCGAATCCCGCTGTGCGTCCACGACACCAACCAGCTGTCAGAGGTAGGCCCAACCAGTTCTCCCTCACGGGCTCTTTCGTTTTCTCACCTCCTGTGCGATGGGTGCGGCGGTCGTGAAGCAAAGGTTTGCCTTGTCCAAGCCCAGCTTCTCTTTCACCTTGGAAAACACCAACTGGTGTGACATCGTTATCCACCGACACAGACAAGAATGGAGGCAAGAGATCAGGGAGCACACGGGGGAGTGAGCTTTTCGGTCTTAAAAAACATGCTATGCATATGATCTAGTCTATACAGAAACGCGGTAATTTTCATCAGACCGCAGAATGTTTGAACTGTGTTGTCTCTTGGTACTGATGCTTGTTGGCTGCTTAAATCCTGGTAGGCCGCCGCGGGGTGGTTGTTGCTGGCTGAATCGGTCCAAAGCCCGCACTACGCAGATAGCCTATGCGCAAATTCCATCGGTTTTGGGACTCAGACTACGCGTTTTCGTAGTTGGTGGACGAACCACCCGGGATCATACAGCGTTCGGTCTCTTCTGCCATGTCCGAACTCATGCGCTACACTGCCTTGGGCCAAGAAGTCGGCGCTGTATCGTGCCGCCTTCGTTTCGACGCGCAACTTACAAGTATCACCCTAGTCGCCCCGGTATTCCAGGGGTAAAGGACATGTAGAAATCCGATCAACACTTCCACCTCCACCACCTCCGAGCACCGACAGAAGTGAAGGAACAGAAACGACAACGACAATGACAACAACAACAACAACAACAACAACAACAACAACAACAACCAACAACAACAACAACCAACAACAACAACAACAACACAGCAGCAGCAGCAGCAGCAGCAGCAGCAGCAGCAGCAACCCACCGCGTTGGCGATCTTGAAACCCCACGGAGTCCCCCCTCCCCCGCTGTACTCCTTCCGCCTTGCGTTGGCCAGGCCCTGGCAAGGACACACGGCGAACGAACGAAACTCAGGCTGAGGTGGTTAGCTCCGCAATGCGGCTGCAGTTTACCATTGTCTTCCGTGCTATAATAGTGGTTACGATTTCCACTAACGTGACCGTTGTGAGGGGAGCTGGCAGCTGTGCATATAGCACGCTAAAGAAAAAAGCAGTGCAACGGTAGGCCTGTTGCGTCAGGCTCGGCTGATTTAGGAGGGAAACCATTGGGGATGAAGGATTTTCCGACGGCGGGGTTGAGAAGCAGAGCCTGCAGCCGCTGCTGTAGACACGCGATGCGATCAAAGTTGCTGGCACGAAAGTAATCCGGAGGGGGCCAGAGGGGGGCATCAGAACACCGCTCGGTGTGGAATAGCTATCGTTACTAGGCGTTTACTTGATGTTTGCTGTAGATGATGTTGATTTTCAAACACCTACATGACGGAACGAATACCCAACTGCTTATAGGCGTTTGAAAATCTATATTACATTCATTTCGTTGTAGGCGATATACGGGTTTTCCAACACCTGCGTGGCGAAATCGATGCACAAGTGATTACAATATGGACCCAGACATCACTAGCAGTCTCTAGCAGAACGCACCCTTCCTTTAGACCAGGCTGAGAGCGCAGCCTTCGCGCCATGGATGGAGCGGCCGATTTCCTGCATCTTCTCATACATCTTCTCCCACACCTTTTTCGGGAGGACAACGTAATGAGGGTCATTCATTCGCATTGCAGGTAAGGGGGGTTTCCGCCTGCGCGGGGGGTTGGGGTAAGGGGGGGGGGGGGGGGGGGAACCCAAACCCGGGGTGGCGGAAACCTTAAAACCTTTAACCCCCCACCCCAAAAAACCGGGGGGGGAAACCCCGGGGTTTCCCCGGAACAGGGTCTCCCATTACCAAAGGGGAAAGGGCCGGGGGGGTTTCGGGAAGCCCAAGAAGGGGGGGCCGCCCCCCGGTAAAGGGGGTCGGGATCTTGGGGTTTATTTCTTGGGGAAGGGAGAAAACCGGGGAAGAAATAAATTTTTTTTCGGGGGCTTCCCCTCCCAAAAC